AGGACTGCAGAAAGCATTGTACTCAGTTTCTGTTTCACTTTTTCTTCTCTTCTGTTCGTTCCATTTATATCTTCCTTGCTCAGACCTGTTCCATCATCTCAAATTCTTTGTACAGGTAGTCATCGCTTAACAACCATTCATTAGTTATGCTCAGTCCCCAAAGTTACAGCTGTTGCAGCACCCCTGCAGTCACATGATCAAAATTCAGGCACTTGGCAGCCCATCCACACTTACAACCACAGGGGCACTTCAACTCATACTTCCTCATACTCTGTGGGAGGGATCCTCTGTGCAGGGTGGGGGTCCAGGGCGCCCTATTACTTTCTCCATTTGGGCTGTGTGGTTGCCTCTCAAGTAGGAGAATAGCCACTGGCACTGACCAATAATGCGGGGGGCAGGGGGCGGGGAGGATAGGATGGGGGGAGGATAACATTTACTGACACTGACCACCAATGCAGGGTGGGGTTTATGTTGGTTAAAATTGTTCTTTATTTTAATTATTGTATTGTTTTTTTCCTGGTTTTTTTTTTTGTACTACAAATAAAATATGTGCAGTGTGCATAAGAATTCATTCATGTTTTTTTCAAACTATTACTGTGAGCCACCTAGAGTCACCCGTTGGGGGAGATAGGCAGCATGCAAGCTTAAAAATAAATAAATAAATAAACAAACAAACAGTCCGCCCCCCCCAACATTCTGAGGGACTGTGAACTGGCCTCCTGTTTAAAAAGTTTGAGGACCCCTGCTTTACATGATATGTGCATGTAGCCACTGAGGTTTATACATCATGGTGATGACAGTTGTTTATTTATGTAGCATCTTACCAGACTGTTACACTCCCTAAGGACTCCTGTCACATTGGGCAAGCCAAGCCAACTTTGTGTATGAATCCAGCCAACAACCTAGAAAAATCCATCTCTAACATAACTGACTCCAAGCTTACATGGTTTCTTACAGACATGTTCTCTGATGTGGTCTGTTCACTTCTGAGCACCAAACTTGGAAAGGAAGAAGATTT